CTTTTATTGTTTTATATATATATATAATGTGTGTGTGAGAGAGAGAAACTCATCCTCTATATGTATATCTGTGTGTGAAACTCATCCTCTATCCATTCAAAAAGTGTCATGTCCCAAAACGGGAGAGATAAACCTAGCAAATCAGCTCTCTACCGCCCTGCCAAAAGAACTTTCAGAAAATATCATAAACTCCTATTGAACATATACAAATAGTAGCTAGAGAATAATTATTTAATTATATTAAAACTTTTAAAGGATGACCAGTTTAAGGATTATCTCTGAGCCCATTCCATTATGATACACACAGTAGCGGAACTAAGATTATATTAAGGGATATTAAAACTTTAAAAATAAATTACACAAAAGTCAAGAGAATTTAATACATAAGTATATATACATACAAAATAGTAATGCATATTCATCTAAATAGTATAATTTTTCGGGAAAAGGGTGTCAATTGATACCGTTTAAAGCTATGTGACTCCGCCACTCACGTATCAGAAAGGTTGAGTGGACAATTAAAAATCTTTGATCTTTATTGAGAGAGAAAAGATCTACTAGCATGGATCGCTTTTTAAACTTTTATGTGAAAAGTTACTTTCTAAGTAAAGAAGGGACGGGAATACTCTAATTTTTACACCTCCGCAAACAAAGATTGAAGGACCAGATAAGTTGTCCTTATTCTCTCTTTTGGCCTTACGTATATCCTTCAAAGTAGACCACATCTTCCAATTACTGATTTTTTTTTTTCATGAAAAGAGAAAAAAAAAAAAAGCAACAAAAAGATCTTCCAATTATTTAAAGAGAGAATAGTTGTTGTATACTTATATTAGAGCTTAAGATAACAAACTATTCACCTTATTAACTTAGGATATAAAATTTCTTTGCAAAATTCTAATGCACTTTATTGTTTTTTCTAATATTTTAAGTTTATAATTAAACAATTTTAGTCAAGTAGCATCCCACTTGTTGAAGGAAAAAAAGAAAGAAGAAACAAAAGGCTATATTTATGAAGTTGCAGACGTCTCCCTTGACTAGAGGAATATAATTATTCAATTAATTTTTACATACATCTACACTTTTGGAAACGTTATTACCCTCCCTCCTCAAGTTTCAATTTAATTACATCCTATATATAAATTTGCCAAGTATATACACTTTAGGAATTAAATGAGTATCACTTTATATTGTGAATCAATTATTTCTCATCCTTATTCTCTCTCTCTCTATATCTCTCAATCCCTAATTCCAGTAATATAAAGCAAAAGAAAAAAGAGCAGCAATTTCACCATTGACATCCATTAAAAAACTTTGAAGCTTTGAATTCGAATTTAGGTTTTCAAAAACCATTATTTGTTTGGATTGGGTGTTGTTGCAAACAATTAGGAATATAGTTTGGAGTTTATATCTCAATTTTGAGGGTGTTTTGGTGAAGATTAGACTTGATTTTGACTGAATTTCAGATTGAAACTCGAAGAAGAAGAAGAAGAAGAAGAAGAAGAAGACGACGACGACATGACATACATTATTCTTACGAATTGTAGTAAAATTGTAGAAAAATTGTATTATGTTGTTTATATATAATTTTTTATTTAAATATTGTATGAAAGTTGAACAATATTGGTTAAAAATTGTATTTAAGTTGTATGATATTATAGTTGTATATAACTGGGTAGAAATAATATATGAAAGTTGTAGATAAGGTGTATAATATATAATTAGTTGTATGAAATTTGTTTTTACTATGTATAAATCAGATACAAAATATACAAAAGACATATTGTATAAAATTTATATAAAAATTGTAGTTAAGTTATAGAAAGAATTACAAGAAAATGCACATGACTTCACACCATAACAAAAAATGGCCCATGTTTCTAAGTTTTACTCGACCTAACCCATATTGTATATATTTTGAAAACTAGCAAATTCAAAATCTGTGTTCCTACAACCATTACTTCTACAAGCTATGGAGTTCAACCTGTGTTCTCACAACCATTACTTTCACTCTCTCTTCTTCTCACATCTTCTACATATGCTTCAAGGGGCCGTCCACCATTGCTGTTTCTTACCCTGTGTCACCTGGTTGCAATGTAAGAAAATTAAAGAGTAGAAGTCCACTATTGAAGGCCATTCAAAGCTTTGCTTTCGAAAATAGGATTTTTTAAGTTTCTTAGTTGTTTTGATTGGGTGTTGCTCCAATTGATTGAAAATATTAAAAGGAGTTCAAAATTTAAATTTGAAGTGATTTGGAGTAGATTTGAGTAAGATTTGAGTTAAATTTTAGAAAAGACGCAAGGAAGAAGACGAAGTAAGTTTTTTGTATAATTATGTATAATCTTGTATAATAGTGTATAAACACATCTTATTCACTATTATACACCTTTATACAAGCGTTTGTAGACGAACTTCTTCCACTACTTTCAGTTGCAATTCTTGTTCAAAACCAGTCCAAATCTCCATAAAATGACTTCAAATTTTTTATACAACCTCCTTATACTATTTTTAACAAGTCTAAATAACACTCACTCCAAATCTCTCACAAAATCAAATTCAAAATTTAAACCCACATATTTAAGCTTGTTAAAAATCTAATTTTCACCATCCAAATGGATTTGGTTTGTTGAACTAATATTTGACTCACAGTTACTTATTCGAAAACTTAAAAGATTGAGCAATCTTTTTTAAAAATTAAATAGCAATTTCTAGAACCTATTGGAGTTGGATATTGAATCTTAGCCTATTATTTTTGGGCTAGTTAGTTGTAAATTGTAATATGGGCTATAAATTTAAAAAGTAGGGAGCTCAGTTGTTCTTATGTGAAATTTTCCCTAAGTTATATGATATTGTAGTTGTACATCATCTAACCTCCTATTAATCAAACCAAATAATATTTAACATTTCTATTGCTGTTAGCACAAGTGTCTTTTACCTCTTGGTTTTTGTCCTGATTAATTGTGTTAGTCTTTTTGGCTTCTACTATCTTGCATATTGATGCTATTTTGTTAGTGGCAATTGTGTGCGAGAACTATTCCTGATTCTGCTTCAGTTTGGGATGATAGTTTCAAGAATGGAACTGATTGTCGTGTATGAATAGTAGATTCTGGTTCAAATCTGGATAAGGGATGAGGGTTGCTCTGTGTAAAAATAGTTAATTTATGATGAATTGATTATTTATTATTGGAACGAGAGGGGGGCGGATAGAATGGAAGGGACATAGAGCCGACTCCAAGTATCCAACACGTTTGGGAATTTCCGTTTGTGAAAAGGGCGGAAGATCTGGAGAGAAAGGGGAAAATGAGAGAAAAAAGGAAAAAAGTATAACTAAATCTCTTGATTGAAGGCACTAATAATGGATTGAGAGTCTTTTAAGGTGGTGTTGGGTTTTGGATGTATTTAATTAATATATTAAATACTTAAAAGAGGGTGAATGGGAAATGGAGGGAAATAAAATTTTTGAGTGAAATTTTAAGTTCCCCCTTGGCAAATGGGCATTGTCCCATATTGGAAGAGGAAGAGGTTTTTTATGGGTATATAAGCAATTGCTCTTCTTCTAGCTCTTAAAGAGTTGAGAAGAAGGCAAGCCTCGCGCCGTCGTCGTCGCTCGCTCGGCTACGGCTTCGGCCGGATTCGGATTCGGATTCGGATTCGGTCAAATGATCGATTGATTGATTAACTTTTTGGACCAAATTTATTTGTTAATAATAAAATATTAACAGAAATGTTATTAAATATTTGTTTTAATAACAAAATATTAATATTAAATATTAATATTAAATCCAATCCGTTTTTCTGTTTTGGTAACAGAAAAGTAACTACCCTCTTCAATTTTCCCTCTTTATTTTCCCTCTTTATTATTGAGTAAATGGCCATTTATGTAATGACATTTATGCTGTGGGCGTTTTGCATAAACAGCCATTCTGAAGAGTTGCACCTCTTCAGATTTCAGCCTAACTTTGGCTATAAATACAACACTATTCTGCTCAGAATTTCACTACGATTTTCTGAGTTTCTTCTCCTTCTTCTGCATACTTTTACCATCAAACAAAGCAAAAAGTAAGTGTGATTTGCTACCGAACTTTGTGTTCGCTGAAACACTGGGGTTTGAAGTACCACTACACCAGTGTGTAATTCGTTCTATCCTGGGAGGAAATAATCCATAACCTTGGGTACTAGGAGGGGATTAAATTCCTTAAGGAAACACTGTGAATTTAGTGGGCTCGAATTGGTTTTATGTCATTTCTGTTTATGTTCATTTCTGTTTATACTCATTTATATTTCCAGAATTATTTTACAAATACAGTCTACTAACAGGTGGATTGCATATATTTTGTAACTAAAATGTGTTTAGATCGGGTAAATACCAAAACATGAACAATTTTCGTAATACGGTTTCAAATAGCGTATAGGTATGCAAAAATCCCGAATTAGGTTCACCTCATTACATAGTTGAAAATTTTCTATTCTATATAAGAAATTTGAAGTTCAAAATGAGAATGAAGTTTTTCCGATAGAGAGGCTTTACCCTTTAGTGCATTAGCCTGTAGGCTCGCATCTGGATTAGTTAGGCTAATAAATTAACTTCAAATATCAAACAGTTACATTTAAACAGTCCCATCTTTTATGAAAATATCAGGATCATTTGAGCTCCTTGTTAAATATTATTGTACACAAGTCTTTGATTTTTAGAGCAAAGAGTTGATCTCTTTGTGATTGGTTCTATATATTTGGTAAAAAGAATATTCCTCTTTAGAACCATTGAAAATGGTCAAAAATACAATTGGAACATGACAACACAATGAAAAAGGGATGGTAGCTATATATAGCTAGCAGAATATCTCAAGCAATGTGAAGGAATTTCCCTGTAAAAACTTCTGATTGAAGATCTTGAAGAAACTATATAGACAACTTGATCACTGCCTCTAATTGGATAAACCTTTGGAATTTTGAAATGACCCATAATTAGTGGTCAGTTTAGTGATGCATTTGGAGGGCGAAGCTAGAGTTCAAGGAACTGGCATGACGTAATAACTTTGGTGTAAATAATCAAAGGTCAATTTCTTGTGAAACAAAAAACTATACATAATTTAGCTAAATTTGCATAGAATGTCATTATGTCCCACCCCATTTTGCCAATAGTGACATAGAAGAAGCTCCCAAAACAAGTGATACATTGGCAATAATTTGGAGCTTGAAATTAGAGTGTAAATTAGGGTGCATGAAATCTTTTGCAAGAAGATCCACAAGTGCCATGTAAATTAGAATACCAGCTGATGCTGAATTAAGAACCCCTTGCACAATCAATGCTGATGAGCTTTGCTCATTGTAACCTTTTGATATCATCATTCCAATACCTATTCCACTTGGAGTTGTAAGAGTGAAGAACAATACCATTATTGCTATTGTTCTTGCCCTGTACTTCGCCTGCACATGCATATGGATTTTCACCGAGGGAATTTGAATTTTTTTAAAAGTAAATACGCGTTATGTTTATATCCCTACATATCCACTATTTATTTCTTCATTCACGTGACCTTAGTATCAAAATATATTTTTCAAAATTATTCGCTTATCAATATGGAATCTTTACACAACAATAACCGGTCGGATTTACTGTTCAGTTTTCTAATTGATATACATAGATTATACATCTGTTGACTATTTTTTAATTTAAACTGTTGGGCTGCGGCTATATAAAAGGACAGCGTGGTGCACTGAGCTCCCGCTATGCGCGGGGTTCGGGGAAGGGCCTGATTCTATTGTACGCAACCTTGCCCTGCATTTCTGCAAGAGGCTATTTCCACGGTTCGAACCCGTGACCTCTTGATCACATGACAACAACTTTACCAGTTATATATTTGGATTAATACTTGGGTTGCGGCTACATATTTGGATTAATTCTTCTATCAATATATATGTAACTCAAGATGAAGGAAATGAGTATTATCCATTTAGTACATATAGTTTGCTTCCAACTCTGCCTAATTGTCACTTCATATTCCAAGGACGTGTAAAATCTATTATGTATCTTACTGGTTCATTAATTCAACATAGATTAGGATGATTTGGAGAATAGGCCAATGTAATTTTCTATTTTATATTCCATAAATAAAAAAATATAAAACAGATTATTCTTCCGCAGGCAATTAGTGAAACTTTAAAGTAAAGAATAATATAACAAGATTTGTTTTCTAAAACCAGAGGAATAATTGACTACTTAGAGAGAGCGAGAAGGTTTATTTACCTGGGAAATGCAGCCACCAAGTCCCATGCCTTCAAAAAATTGATGAAAACTCAAAGCTATTATTAGAGGTTTGATTGTTTTGGGATTTTCTGTAGTTCCAAGCGAAATGCCAATAATCACAGAATGAACCAAAATTCCCAGCTCCAAAACCTGCAAAATTTTCAGAATTCTTTTAGAATATTTCTATGTCAATGCAAAGATTAATGGAAAAGCAAATTAAAATAAGCATTTGGATAACTTGAATCAACAAATAAAATGACCACTAAACCCAATATTTTGAAATAGTTTTCATTCACTTAAAAACACCACCTTCTCTTTTATAACAAGCTTTTCTTATATACCATACTATACCACATAATTTCATTCACCAATTTCACTAATTATAATCCTTTATAGAAAACACTATTTTAAGTGATTTTTCCTAACAATTCTCTTCGAATTGCAACGAAAGGTTTCACAACAATCAACATAAAACTAGTTATGATGGAAATCTTTTTACATAAGGGGTTCCAATAATAAGCAAACTGCAAAAGTAAATATAAGTGATTAGAATAAATTTATAAGGATGTTTACGTAATTACCTCGAACCTTTTGTATTGGAACAAATGAAGATGAGTTTAAGATATTGACAGATCCATGACAAATGTTCGAGAATAATTGACAACACAAAAGGATTACGCATAATACAAAAAGACAAAAATACCGACACAAAATATCTGCGAACTGTATGTTTTTTTTTGTATATAACAACATACAACTATGTATATATATATACACAAAAAAATTTATGTTTTCGGCTATTTTTTTAGGGCAGCTGTACATTGTCGTTTTCCCAATTTGTTCTTTAGGAATCTGTCAAACTATTTTTTCTAAGACGACTTCCAAACAAAACCAAAAAAAAAAAAAAAAAAAATAATGACAAAGAAAAATTAAGGAAAAATAAATCTAACGAGTTTTCCATAGCTACTAGAAAATCTAACATAATAAGGATTGACGGCACAAACGAACAGAATTAGAACTTCTATATACAGTAAGACTGCAAAAAATTAAATATTACCTGTGATATTAACCTGTGCCGTATAAGAGTAGAAGAATTTGTTCTTTCTAACAAAATTTGAGGACCATCATTTTCTTCAATATTGAGTGGCTGAGCTTTTCTAAGCTCAACTCTTCTATGATAACCAGTTGCAAAAGACTCCATCATCAAAGTAAAAATAGCAGACATCATTGAAACAAAACCAGCAAATGGAAAACTCCCAAATACTTCACTATTATTAAGGCAAGGGTTTGTCAAGCTCTGAAATGCATCAGGTAGAATGTGAATGAATCCAGTGGCAAGAATCACACCCGCCGCGAAAGCTTTGATCAAGAAATTAAGGGATGAATAATCATTAATTTGCAAATATTTGAACTTGTTTAAGAGAATTGGGATGGTAACTCCAAGTGCACTTGCACAAAGTATTGAAGCAATGGCTACTAGTTTGTAGGCTAAGGCTTCATGTTTGGTTTTTTGATGATCTTTGTCTTGGGGTTCACATGTACAATTTGCAAAGATTGGGGTTGATTGGAAAAGGATTGAAAAGTGGATTAGGGTTGTGATTTTAACAAGTAAAGCTTGAGTAATCATTGTTTGTTTTTGGAGAAGAAACAAGTTAATTTAGTGAAGACATGAAAAGCTCCCTTACAGTATTGTGATGCTTTTATGTATGGAGAGTTGGGACTGAAGATGTGATAGACATATTGGAATTTTTCGGTGAATAATTTAAAAGCTTTGATATCAATTGAATTTAAATAACTCAAAATATATTACTCCATCCGTTTCAATTTACATGACACATTTGCTTATCGAGAGTCAAACTGTATGAATTTCGACCAATATTTTATCATTCACTCATAATTTCAATGCTCTTTAACACACATAAAATAGAAAGCACTACCCATTATTCTAATAATAGAAAACTTATTTTACTAGAAATTAGAAAACATATTCACATATTATTTTGGCTACAAAATCTATTTAAACATAAACTAAAGAAACTAGCAAATAATATCAAAATAATAAACAATTTAAGATTACCAGTCTTGGTTTAATTCTACATAATTGTAGTGATTTTGCATGTGTATATAATTATATATGCATTAGAGTACCACCTATCTAAAAATTATCGTAATTAGTACAAATCTCTTTGACTAGAAATTATCGTAATTAGTCTATGCTGGAATTCCTAGACGATGCAAACTCAAGAAAACATCAAGGGTTATATAGAATATATACCAACAGAAACAATTCTTACAATACGTCTAAAAGATTTATGCTTAACGAAATCGATATTCCTCTAATGTTCGAAAATGAAATATTCGTCTAACAAAAACCACTAGACGAGTTTCTTCATGCTATGCTTAAATAAGAAAATAAAATAAAATTTGGGTACTTATCGCTATATATGATTATTGAATATTGAATACTTAGAAATATCTGACATGGGTTTTGTCAAAAATCAAGGTCGTGATTCGTGAATATTGATAACCAACCTTTTAACAATGTTATCATACATAGGAAACTCCATCCAATAATTGTACTTACCCGCAGCGCTTGCTGCCTCTCCTCCAAACCCTCTGTGCGCTCTCTAGTAGCGAATGCGGGGTACATAAGTCGGGTTGGTTCGAATTTTTCAATTACCAAAACAAAACCAATGGTGTCCGGTTTTTAAATCTATAAACCAAACCAAACCAAACCAACAAAATCGGATTTTCAATCTCGGGTTTTCTCGGTTTTTCGTATTTTTTTCAGTAAAGTCTTTCATAGCAGAAAATGTAACTTGTGCTCCAAATATTCCTTTAGTCCTAGTAAGATACAACTATATAATGTATTTTCCAAGAAAATAACATAATAATATGAGATAAGTCATAGCATTATACTAAATCATTCAATAACAAAGATAATAAAATTGCATAAAGCAAATATTGCTGTCACGACCCTAAACCCAAACCCGGCCATGATGGCGCCTCTCGTGAAGACAAGGCCAGCCGACACATTTCCAATTCACTTTAAGCAGTTGAAATAATAAAACTCAAAGTCTTAATAGAAATAAAATCCCAAAATAACAGTATAAGTTGCGGAATTAAAAACCAACACAGCCCGACATCGGGGTGTCACCAGTCATGAGCATCTAAACAAAATAAAAGTCTGAAGGCTACTCCACTACTACATAACTGAATCAAAGAAACAAAGATAGAGGGAGAATGCACTGGGCTGTGAATCGCCAAGCAGCTACCTAGTAAATCTTCGAAGACCTGCTGGAACGAGCTGAACCTATAGCGCCCGAATCTGCACACAGGGGTGCAGGGAGTAAAGTGAGTACTCCAACTCAGTGAGTAATAAAAATAAATGAAGACTGAGTAATATAAAACCACGTAAGGCACAACATTAAGCTAACAGAGGCACAGAAAAATCCGTAAATATAATTAAGCAGTGAAATCTCATAAACATCCTTTAACCAGTTAAATAATATACAGGGAAAACAACAAAAAAGTAAACACATAATAACTGCCCCTCGGGCTCAGTAACAACAATAGAATCAGCCCCTCGGTCAATATCACAGAACAATACCAGCCCCTCGGGCTATATCTCATATCACAATGGGTACCCGCGCTCACTGGGGGTGTACAGACTCCGGGAGGGGCCCCTTACGGCCCAAGCGCAATATCAAGCCATCTCGTGGCGTACACTCTCAGGCCCTTGGCCTCATTATCATAATCAGTATATCACTGCTGCAGCGTGCAGCCCAACCCAAAAGTATCCTCACGACACAGGCCCTCGGCCTTACTCAGTTAGAATCTCATAAGCCCCACGGGCATCAGTAAAACATGAAGCTCAGCTCAAAATATCTTTAAAATATTATTTAATGTGTTTAAAACAGAATAACATAGCTGAATTTTGGAAATAGTGAAAATATAGCATGACTGAGCATCAATATGAAATCAACACTGAGGAAAAATGTCATTTAAAATCCCCTAAGGGTTCAAGCAGTTGGCACGAAGCCCAAACATGGCATTTAGCCCAAAGTATAATAATATCAAACAATTAGCTACCAAATATACAGAAAAATAGTCATTCGGGATGGACTAAGTCATAATCCCCAACGGTGCACGACCCCACGCTCGTCATCAAGCGTGTGCGTCACCTCAACACAGCCGAACGTTGTGTAATCCGGGGTTTCATACCCTCAGAACAGCATTTAAAACCATTACTCACCTGGAACTAGCCCGAAAAGCTACTCTGCAACATGCTTGCCTCTCGAACCAACTTTCGAGTGCTCCAAATCTACCAAGTTCAGATTTTTATCATCAAATTATGCTAAAAGAATGAATTCCAATTGAAAATATTGATTTTAAGCACAAAACCCGAAATCAGTCCAAACTCGACCCCCGGGACCGCGTCCTGGAACTGGACAAACTTTATACCAAAACGTTCTTCATCATCTCACGAGTCCGTACATATAAAGAACTCGAAAATCGGAGTTCGTTTGACCCCTCAAATCATCCCTAGAAGGTCTCATAATCTCAAGCCCTAACTCCACCTTTTTCTACTGATTTTCATGAATTAAACACTGATATTTTGTTCCTTAATCACAAATAATCGAGTTTTAGGGTCCACAATCCTTACCTCAATGAAGAACAATGATTTCCTCTCTTCAAAATCGCCTCAAAGCTCTTTTCCCATTCAAAAAAAGTATAAAAGGGTTTAATGGTCGCGGAGGGACTAACTTATATTCTGTCCAGACATTTCCGTATCTGCGGTCATTTAACCGTATCTGCGGTCCTCCATTAAAAACCCGAATTTCCGCATCTGCGACATCGCAGATACGGTCCTCCTAGCCACTTCTACGGTTTCCTGACAAACGCATTCTGGCCGCTTCTGCGGTCCATCTTTCGCATATGCGGCGCCGCACCTGCGGTCTCCTAGCCGCAGGTGCGGAAATACCAGAAGCAGCACAATCTGCAGCTGCAATAATTCTTCAAACTCCCCGTCAACCATCCGAAATCACCCCGAGGCCCCCGGGACCTCAACCAAAACCAACATATCCCGTAACCTTATTCAAACTTGTACCAATCTTCAAAACACCTAAAACAACATCAAAACCACCAAAACTCATCGAATTCAAGCCTAAGGTTCTAAATTCTTCCGCATTCCGCTTTTGATCAAAAACCCAAGCAAACCACGTCCAAATGACCTGAAATTTTGCACGCACATTCCAAATGACATAACGAAGCTACTGCAACTTCCGGAATTCAATTCTGACCCCTGTATCAAAATCTCACCTATCAACCGGAAAACGCCAAAAACTCAATTTCGCCAATTCAAGCCTAAATCTACTCCGGACCTCCAAAACACATTCCGATCACACTCCTAAGTCCCAAATCATATCCCAAAGCTATCCGAACCATCGGAACTCACATCCGAGCCCTCTAACACCTAAGTCAACATCCGATTGACTTTTTCAACTTAAGCCTTCTTAAAAGAGACTAAGTGTCTCAAACCTTCTCAAAACTTGTTCGAACCCGAGCCAACCAACCCGATCACATATAAAACCGATAATTAAAGCAAATAAAAGCAGAAATGGGGAAGACAGAGCGGTAACTCATGAGGCGACCGGCCGGGTCGTCACTTCCTCCCTCTCTTAAACAAACGTTCGTCCTCGAATGAGTCAAGAAACGTACCTGAAGCCTCGAATAGGTGAGGATATCTGCTCCGAAGTACCTCAAAAGGCCCAATGAACCGTGGACTCAACTTACCCTTCTTCCCAAACCTCATAGCACCCTTCATGGGCGAAACCTTCAACAGAACTTTCTCACCAACCATGTAGGACACATCACGAACCTTCCTATCAGCATAGCTCTTTTTTCTCGGCTGCGCTACACGAAGAGTCTCCTGAATCACCTTCACCTTGTCTAAAGCATCCTGCACCAAATCTGTACCCAATAGCCTGGCCTCGCCCGGCTCAAACCAACCAACTGGAGATCTACACCGTCTCCCATACAAAGACTCATATGGATCCATCTGAATACTCGACTGGTAGCTGTTATTATAAGCTAACTCCGCGAGCGGTAGGAACTGATCCCATGACCCTCCGAAATCAATAACACAAGCATGTAACATATCCTCCAATATACGAATAGTGCGCTGACTACCCGTCCATCTGAGGGTGAAAAGTTGTGCTCAGATCAACCTGAGTACCCAACTCTCGCTGCACAGACCTCCAAAACTGAGAAGTAAACTGAGTGCCCCTATCGGAAATGATGGAAACTGGGACACCATGCAACCGAACAATCTCCCGGATATATATCTCTGCTAAACGCTCAGAGGAATAAGTAGTACAAATAGGAATGAAGTGCGCGGACTTGGTCAGCCGATCTACAATCACCCAAATAGCATCGAACTTCTTCAAAGTCCGTGGGAGCCCAACTACAAAGTCCATAGTGATCCGCTCCCACTTCCACTATGGAATATCCATCCGCTGAAGCAAGCCACCCGGTCTCTGATGCTCATATTTCACCTGCTGACAATTGAGACACCGAGCTACAAATTCGACAATGTCTTTCTTCATTCTTCTCCACCAATAATGTTGTCTCAAATCCTGATACATCTTCGCGGCTCCCGAATGAATGGAATACCGCAAGCTATGGGCCTCCTCCAAAATCAACTCCCGAAGCCCATCTACGTTGGACACACATATCCGGCCCTGCATCCTCAACACCCC